AACGTTTGATAAGTTTTGTTCGTCTATTGATACCAAACATAAGATATTCACGAATTTGGATCAATTGACCCGAAAATTGGACTACAAATTGGATTATTTTGTCGTATTTTCGTCGGTCACGTGTGGTAAAGGAAATGCCGGTCAGACTAACTACTCGTTTGGGAACTCTATGTGTGAACGTATTTGTGAACAAAGACGAAGGGATGGATTACATGGTCTGGCCGTACAGTACGGACCCATCGGTGATGTGGGGGTGTTTGAAGGGTCCGATCAGTTAATAACTTTAACATCAATAAGAAAACAGCGGATCAACTCGTGTTGCGATGTTTTGGACAAATTGTTGGCAATTAATACACCGATTGTCACGTCATTTGTAAGTATCACTACATTTCATATACAGTACAAATAAAATAAAGTTTCAAAATATAAATAATAAACTAGGTAAAAGCCAACAAACAACGAGAGTCTGGTAACAGAGAAAAGCGTATTATTGGTGAGCTATGGCGGGCACTGGGCATCGACCCCGACAATACCCCCGATCACCTAACCCTGGGTGAGATTGGGTTGGAGTCCATGTTTGCCGTAGAGTTTCAGCAGGAAATGGAAAGGGAGTGGAATACCAAAGTGAGTCTCAATCACGTGAAAAGTATTACTATAGGAATGCTAAAGGAATACCAATCGGGTAAACTGGATAACATAAAAAAGCACGTGGATGACATGAAACTTGCCCGGGACCACTTACTCAAACAAAAATACATTATACCCGTTGAGATATTCATACGTCTAAACGGCGTAACCGTTGGAAAACCTGTATATCTTTTGCCGACATTTATGTTAAACTTCGCTGTGTTTGAAGGGTTGGCCCAAAAGCTAAACCGACCGGTGATTGGCCTCAATTGGACCCCCGATGTGAGCAAATGTACCACGCTCAAAGATGTTATTAAATATTACGTCAAATTACTCAAAAACCTGGATCCAAACGGGAAGTACGATGTGGTTGGTTGTCTGGACACCGCTTATGTCTGCCCAAAGGTATTGATGAAGGGAATGGCAGACATGGCGGTGATCATTGATCTGATAAGCGATGTCCGCTATTTCGATGACCAACTCAACGAGGATTTAATTTTTGAGTTTATTTTTGTTGTAATGTACGGCGAATTACCGGTTGCTTTTAAAGATAAAGTTTTGCGCGAGATTAAAAAGGAGCAGGATACAAAAGCGAGAGTTAAGTTGATAGCCAACGAGATCGCAGACTTCGCCGGCAAAGGACTGGTGGCCACAGATATGGAGGAAATGCTTTACTTAATGATAGCCCGGATTCGTATGCTATCGGAGTATAGACTCAATAAACGCAAGAAGTTTTCAAATCGACTGAAACTCGCGATCGCAAAGAAATGGGCGAAAAAGACGGGCAAATTGATCATGGTCAAACCCGTCAAACATGATTCAGTTGATGACGTTGATGTGATTATTGAAAAATCGTGTGATTTGTATTTTCTACCCGGATCGTCGGTACGCAAAACAGTTTATTTAGTATTTATGTTTAATTTATTCTAAATATTTTAATTATGTTATCAGGATGAAAATTCCACTGTTCAGGTGGAAAGTGTGAGCACACAAACTACTCGTGAATTATTGACCATTGAAGTTATGAACAAACTTGAGGCAATTCTCAAATAGCATACATTTATCAGGATTAATTGTCTGAATATTGATTAAAAATGAACTGATTTTTAAAACATTAATTAAAAATTGAAATATTAAAATATTAAAATAAATATAACGCATTTTTTATATTTTAAAATAAATATTAATAAAACCCTGTAGTTTATGTTTATATAATAATATAACATTTAATAAAATCTTTATGCGTTTAATGCACACATCGGGAACCGCTCGGACATACCGCTGATCACCACATCATTTGCCGACATATTTGATATTAAATCTTACGATAGTTATGAAATTGAATACTTTATTTATTTTACTTTATTAATTTAACATAATGTGGGGATAATTTAACAAGCAAAGTGTTATTTTTAACAAAAACTCAGTTATAAAACAAATTATCAACAGTTTATTATAATTATTGTTTAAATGAGAAAAACATTGATTTTATTTGTCAATTGCTAATATTAACTGTTTATAAACCAGATCAGGGAGAGACCAAGACACTCTTTATATTTTCAGTCTTAACAATCAATCTTATTGACGGCTTTCAACAAAGGTATTTAGCTCTGGGTATTTATTTTATTATATCAAGATTTAATATGTCGAAACAAAATAATATGAATAAATTTTAATGTTTAAGTAGCCATGATTTAATAAATTTTAAAACTAATATTGTAGTTATCTACTAATAAATATCAACTATAAAAGGGAAATCATCCTAGATAAGTTAATTGGGAAAGAATATTTTTTATAATACAAATTTACATTTATAACGACTATAATTTAAACTTAACAAACTCTATGTTTTTTTATTTCATTTTTAAGATATATTTATATATTATATATAATATTACATCATATTTTAAATTCGCTAATCCCCTATTGTACATTTACTTAATCTTTTTGTGAATTAACGCCATAAATTTACTTAATTATAATAAATTAATATACCATTAAATATTTGACAATTAATTAAGCGCAATTTATAAACGCATTGAAAGGTTTTAACTTATCTAGGATGATTTCCCTTTTATAGTTGATATTTATTAGTAGATAACTACAATATTAGTTTTAAAATTTATTAAATCATGGCTACTTAAACATTAAAATTTATTCATATTATTTTG